TGGGTAATGAAGAAAAACTTTAATATAAGTTTAACATAACAGCAAATGTACGACGTTTCGACAAGGTTTTATACATTTGGTGTTATGTTAAACTTATATTAAAGTTTTTCTTCATTACCCATTCAAGCCGTCTCCAACCATTATTAGTCTCAAAGTGGGTTCCTCATCATCAAATTGGAGTGTTACTATTTTAAACTAACTACTAGAAAGGTCAAAAGTAAACAGTCATAAAATTGGGGGGATATTTTGAAAGTTTGAATCTATATATTGCTAGGAATATGACTCAAAAAACAAATCTTTCTGTTCAGGGGGACACAATCATGACTTCAGTGAAGATGATACTGAGGATAATCAACCATTTCCAACCCTGAAACACGTGTTAGAGGCTGTTGACCAACATGTTGGATTCAATGTAGAAGTTAAAAGTCCCATGCAGTTGAGGGTAAAAATGTATATTTTCTTTTCTAACTAAAAATGTGATTATTTAACGTAAATGACTCAGTGGTTAACCCTTTTGAGATGGGTCACGGGTGAAAGGCCATTTATTGAATTATTATTTCATGAATTTATGTCAGTATGTGTGGTATCAAACTGTAGATTATAATTCAAATTTCAGTACTATACATTATTCAATTTCTTAATTTAAAAGTAAATATTTAAAAACACAGATAAACATCAATTTTTGTGTGTCACGTGGTATGTTGAATGGAGCACTGGTTCAAATCAGATGTTTGCAAAGTCAAAATACTAAGTCTATAGCTTCGTATGAATTAGAAACTCAAATTACCGATATTGACAAGCTAGAATATAAAATAAGAACATCTTATCTTTTCTATTTGCTAAGATATTGCTCCTGTAATAAATCACAGTGGCACCCCACCCCACCTCTTTCCAATTTTGGAAATGCTCCCTTATATACACTTACTTTTATATATGACATGGAAAACCAATTGGAAGCTCAGAATGTCCCCCCTAGTGACTTTCTGAGCCATTTTAATGGGTTTGGACACCATTTCTTTCTTTTGAACCAATATTTCAAGGAAGTAGGGTGTATCTTTAGTCTGCTTGAAATTTCATATTTTTTAGACTGAAATATAGCTTAGTTACGAAGCTTGATAAATTATAGTGGAATTCTGTGGTATTGATGTGGTAATTTATGATTTTATTAGTTATTCAAATGTATATATAAAACCTAAAAAAAATTATTTTGTTTCATATCCTCCATGTGCAAAATTTTTAAAAGCTTAGCAACCTATGTCAAGCAGTAACGGAGTACAAAGGTTTTAACTAGAAGAGATATTTGTTTGCTTTACTTTTTTATTTACTGTTCTATATTTTAAGAAAAATAAGTTTAAAAACTTATTTCGAAATGGCAATAATTTAAATATAATGTATAATAATTGAAATGTGATTGTATTTTACAAAATACTGGTCTACTAAAACATAGTCAAGACAAGTTACTTTGTACAGACCATGTTTTATGTTATTGAATGTGGTAACATGAGTGCACGTGTGCTGCGACATTTTAACTTCTGTATTGTTTGCCAGACACAGCCGAAAGGTCAATACAATAAAAATAATAAATATATATAAATGTGTAATGTTATGAGATTTAAGCTATTTAGTCTAAACATTTATGTTTTTGTGTTATAATTTGTGTTCATTCTAGAATAAAAGAGGCATAATTTATATTTTTTATGGTAGTTACGAGTTCAGTCAGATCTACCAAACCCACATAGAGATTCGTTACTGAAAATAACAGATAAAATATAAAGTTTTTTCTAAAGAAATGTTTGATAACTATCGATACATTATAAAGATTTTGCTTGTGAAGATTGAAATATTTCTGATGCATAAAAGTATTTTTAATCTTAAAATGAAAATTACTTTGCACGTTAGATAGGTAACATGCGAAAAGAAAAAAGGCACGAGAAAAACATTGCTTTACAAACCTTAAGACGTAATAAAAAAATTTGATATTTCGCGTATGAAAGCATTGTAATGTTATCTGATAATGTACCAAATTACATTAACATTTGCTTACTAGTTTAAAAGTTATAGCATGAAAGCTATATCAAGCACAAAATGGTTACAAGATAGGTCCCAGAGACATTGATGAAATATTTAGTTGTTTTTTTCGTTACATATTTAGTATTTTAATCAATGGGAAATTACTAATACTGCCTCTATACATTTAAATTATTTAGTACAGTGCACAGGGGTCTTTCGATTTGGGGTTAGTTTTTTTTAATGTTAGATATACTTCTTACTAGGATGGAACATGGGAAGGTGATGGACACTTTGACCTCAACAGCTACATGGACATAATTCTCACTGATTTACTCCAACATGCTGGTTCTCGTTACATCCTTCTATCTTGTTTCCACCCTGACATCTGCACTATGTAAGTATTACCTTGTAAAGAGAGCAGGGAGAGTAAATATAGAAATCCCAAAACAAGCATCTTGTAGATGACTTTTTTTTTGGTATCCAGTTATATTGATCCTTACTGTTTCATAAAATACGAATTTTATCCTTGTTTTACTAAATAAAGTGCATAGTTTCTTCCACTGCATATAGTTTTTCTACTAACACTTTCTTCCACTGTTATTATTAGGATACGTCTTAAGCAGAACAAGTATCCTCTCCTGTTCTTAACACAAGGAGTAACTGATAAGTACCCTCCTTACTTGGACTGTCGAACCTCCTCTATCCCCATGGCAACTTTCTTTTGTCGCAGTGCTGGAATTTTGGTAAGTGCATTTTCGTTAGTTTAGAATGTTTTTTTCTTACTTAGATAGAGGTGATTGCAACATTTGTTGTTGTAATAGTTTCCCATGAAAGTTATGTCAGCAGTGTTCCAGTAAATATTAAACTAACTTGTTCAGGGATAGTTCAACCTTCAAGTACACATCCATGGTCTTGAAACTTTTTTTTTAATACAGTTAGTGCATTAAAGTTCAAAACTGTTTATTAAGACACAAGTTGAAATCTTGTATTACTTTGATGACCAAAAGCCGAAATAAAGAACCTTTAAAATGAAATAAATATCTTGAACTAGTTTTATCATATTTCATACGTGTTCAAATGCCTATGGATACGTATATCATTATATCATCATCTTCAATGTTTTATTGTAGAATAAAAAACAGTACAATACTATGTAAGATAGACGTAGTTATTTGTGATAGGCAGAACTGAGAATAGTCTGTCGAGAGTTTGACCTTGTTGTGATGTAGTTGGTAAGCATTACTTGAAAACTGAGGGTTCTGGGTTCAAATCCTGATTAAGGAAAATGCCCTCTATGAAGGTTTTAATTATCCACATTCTAAATAATAACAATTTCACTTTGACAAATTCAGGGTCAATACCTTTATAGTAGGTACTGACAGTTTTGACAAATTCAGGGTCAATACCTTTATAGTAGGTACTGACAGTTTTGACAAATTCAGGGTCAATACCTTTATAGTAGGTACTGACAGTTTTGACAAATTCAGGGTCAATACCTTTATAGTAGGTACTGACAGTTTTGACAAATTTAGGGTCAATACCTTTATAGTAGGTATTGACAGTTTTGACAAATTCAGGGTCAATACCTTTATAGTAGGTACTGACAGTTTTGGCAAGGTCAGGGTCAATACCCATATTGACAGTTTTGACAAGGTAAGGGACAGTACTTGTATAATAAGTATTGACAGTTTTAACAAGTTCAGGGTCAATACCCGTATTGACAGTTTTCACATGTTCAGCGCCACTACCCGTATATTAAATACTTACCATTTTTCACATGTTCAGCACCACTACCCATATAATAATTATTGTTGGTTTTGACAAGTTCAGGGTCAGTACCCTTATTGTAAGTATTAACAGTTATGTTTAAAGGTTGTTTATAAAAAAAATACTCAAGATATATTTGTTTTTGCCATGTACTCTGAATAAGAAAAACAAGCATTACACCTTATTTTATTATTATTTAGATTTTCAGAGATATACAACCACAAAGTAGAAAATAATTCATGGTGTGTGCTTCTGAAAACATGAACAGTGTTTTGACACTTTTGAGGTTGTTTTCATCAAGTTAGATAGTTCTTGTGATTTACTGATATTTAAAGTTGTTACAAAGGTTGAGTTCACCGAGTGTTTTGAACGCGACATAAAGTCTCCTACATGTAATTTGTTCAAAAGTACACATCATGAATCAGTCTCTTCCTGTGAACTTTGCTAAAGGACAGAGGATAATTGTAAGTGATAAATTACAGTAATTGAGCTCTAACTATATTAATTGTTATATTCTATATTTTCAGGGAGTCAATGCTCATACTGAAGAACTGCTCCGAGATCTATCTCTGATAAGTTTTGTTACATCCTGTAATCTGGTTCTTTTCTGTTGGGGCGAAGATAATAACAACCGTGAAACTATTCAACAACTGAAAGCAGCAGGTGTTGATGGTGTGATCTGTGATAGGTAAGTTTTTATTTTCCTCTAATCTTACTAGTGTGTTCAGGCAGAAAAATCTTTGTAACTTGGGCCCGGCATGGCCAGGTGGTTAGGGTGCTCGACTCTCAGTCTGAGGGTCACGGGTTCAGCTGTTGGGGCCTTATAATGTGACGGTCAATCTCACTATTCGTTGGTAAAAGAGTAGCCCAATAGTTGGCAGTGGGTGGTGATGACTAGCTGCCTTCCCTCTAGTCTTACACTGCTAAATTAGGGACGGCTAGCGCAGATAGCCCTCATGTAGCTTTGTGCGAAATTCAAAATAAACAAACAATCTTTGTAACTTTCAGAGTCTGTAGATAAGTAGGGGTTTAGTAAACATTTGACAGAACTTCAGTATTGAATAAACAGGGTTTTAATGAAATATTACAACTTTGTAAATATGTATTCACGATCAGCCGTGTCACAACTTTTCAGCTATTTGGTGGATGTCATTTTCAGAAGTGATATTGGAGATTCTGCTTTTAAAATTGTATTTTCAACTTTTAACACGATAAGAAATAAGAAAATAGTTACAGGCATTTCTGATAACTTCTTTTACAATGGAAAAATTGCCTTGCTCGATACTCTCAATTTAATGTATCTCCTTGATTTTATGGCCGAACGAGGTGATGTAGTTAGTGTGCCGATAGTGGATCTGTCAGCGGGTGGGCGAATCCCAAAAGCTGGAAATAGCGGATCCATCATTTGTGCCTCATTACTGTAAAACAAGAAAAAAAAAATTATGATCCACACTTTGAGGCTATGAATGTATTATAAGAGTGAGAGTCAAATCCCACTATTTAGTCAGAGAAGAATATCCCAAGGGTTGATGGTGGGTGGAATGTATGAAGATACTTCAGTAAAGATGGACTGTCTGACAGTAAAAAAGCTAAGGTTTCTTTTGGTGCAACTGTTTTTGAAATTCAATAATAAATGGTGAAATTTCAATTTGAAACAAGTGTAACTTTTTGTGAAAATCAGCAATTAAACTTACTACTAACAAGATTAGAGCTGCCCAGAAATGCTTGTTAGTTTTATGTAGTGTGGTATCAAAACTATCATATGACTTGCAGGAAAAATTGTATAATAATAATAATGCATTCATATTTCAATTTTTTGATGCCCATAAAATCAATGTGAAACAAGATATTAAGTTTTCCATAAGTCATAATAGCTTTTATACCACACTAATGGGAAAAAAAAACATTTTGGAGTACTTTTATGCTAGTTAATGTAATCTTGTAAAGTCACTTTGTACAAATAAGCGAAGTTTTGCCACTTATCTTTAAAGTTCAAAGAAGTTACACCAGAAGGATGGGTAGCATCTTTTCTGTCAGATTACCCACTACTGTTGAGATAATTTCGTAAATGAAAAAGATATTCCAAAAATGAGTAACCATAATCTCAACTTTTTCCTTACATTTTGGGTGTTTGTAGAGCTGTTCGTATGTATATTGTTCATTTTACCTTTTTTTGTACTACAACTGTGTTTTAATCTAACTTTCCATCTGTTTATGTTAAGTAATCACCTTGATCATTATCTTGTTGTGTAAAAGAAAAGTAGACCATGTAATAAATATAATTTTAGATACAACTCTTACATAGTTAACCCATTAACTGCGGATGACAGATATTTCCGTCATAGAAGTTCTATGGCTCAGCTGCGAATGATGGCAACTCAGTCTTATCTGTGAGTCAGAAAACAGCAACTGAGCTGCTCCTGCAGCAGTTAATGGGTTAATAACATAATTGTGTTATTGAGATAAGTGGTACTTAAAGGAAGAAAAGTAAGTACATCTTTTAAATAGAAGCATCGTAAGAAAAAGATGATACTTAGGACTAATGTGCCTTAAATTCTCACACATAAAGCCATTGTTTTCTTCCACAGAGTTGATGAGTTTGCCTCCCACAAACAGGGGGATATAATTTTCCTTCTTAGTCCTGAAATTAAAGGAGGGGAAAAAGTTGCCATGTTAGAAGCTGCAGGCTATTCGAGCCTTTCGGAGTCGTCTGGCTAATTGTACATGCTTAAAGCAATTAAGAAATACTTCTAACGATCTTTGTTAATGTTAGTGGTGTTTACATTATATTAACAGGAGATTAAATAAAATTGCTTTTAAATTTTACAGCACAAACATTTTCTAGAAGTAATAGCCAAGTTATTTCACCTAAAAACCTTTACATAAAGATGTGTAAATTAATTGTTGCATTAAAATAATTAGATGAAGAATTACTCTCTCTCTATATATATATATATATATATTTAATCTGTATAATACTCTATATAACTTCAACCCCCAAAATTATGATGTATATCAGGTGTGAAACTAAGTAATTGATAAATAAAGATTACTGTAAGATGGGTATGAAGATCCCTTCTACAGTTTTTTTTCCACCTGGTGGTGAACAATTACTACACTTGAAATTTGATTTGGTTATTGTTATTAATTTAATTATGATTATTATAATTACTTTATTTGTATAAAGAAAAAATATGGAAAAAAGGCACAGAAATAATGATGACTTGGTATCCATTAACTCAATAAATAATATTGTATAAAAGAATAAACACGAACCAAGGCTTGTTTTATTAAATATGTACATATGTTTATCTGTACAATATATATTCGATAATCACACGCATTGTATTATTGTCTAAAAAGTTTTGTTTTTTGGAGGGGGTGGGATTATGACTAAAATTGTTTAAGTAGTGTCGCATTTTTTAAACAAACAACAACACTTATCGAGTTATTGGATATGGACTCTGGGAGTTGTATTTTTAACTGCAGAGCATGTCCCTGTACTTGCATTTCTTCAAGGCTCTCCCAGGACTATAGATTTTGGAGTGGCCTGATGTGCAAGTACCTACGGTTCCTACCCAGTGAAACCAGTCAATCCAATTTGCCGATGTTGCTGGAAAAAAATAATCTAATGAATTATACCTTGTGAAACTCCTACAAATAAATCTTATTCATTTAAACTTTATTATTTTTAGTGCACAGTGTAACGTTGAGAATGTTTCTTTTTCTTCCATAAGCCCCGTAGGTGTAAGATAAGATAACGGTGGCTCTGAATGTGTGAACACACAAATGGTGCTCAATTTCTATGTACCAATCAACTGAATTTAATGTGGGTATTAGGTTATCTTAAAAATTCAGTCTGTTTTGATAATTGAAATTCTTTCATAAGAAGAATAGTTTTGTTTCTAAACTCTTATTTTTTGTGTGTGTAAAATATTCAGTTTGGTCTGTATTGTTATAAGAATGTTTTTTGTTTGTCTTTCTCAAATATGGTTATAATTTTAACCAAAATTTTTTATTTTGCATCAGTATTTTACAAAGAGGATACTACCCTTGTAGTTTGCATGAATTTGCTGAATAACTTATAAGTTTTCTATTATTTTGAAATTGTAGTTGCGATATATGAAGGTGTGGGACATATGATGTGATTATATTCCAAAATATAATAACTGCTTTTGAATGAACGTGGGTTGAGAAAGCAAATACAGTTTCACAACATTGTATAGTCAGGACTGTGTTTTATCCTAACATCTGATAGAAACATTAGGAAATTTACCTTGGTTTTACAAGGCATCAACAAGTATTCCGTAACACTTACCTAAAAAAAAATTCACGTGTTGTAATTTGTTAATAGATGGTTCTTGTCATTAACTGTTTTATTTCTTTTTCCCATTTGACAATCTAGAATAAGTACACAAGTTTTTGAACTAATAAATAACACCATTTTACAGATACCATGATTCACAGTGTTGTAAAACAAATAATTTTGTCAACATACGTTCATGCTGGTTTTCAAATTTCGATCCCTGTTTTACCACATACATCTTGCTAAAGCTTTTATTTATGTATAATATTTGTTTATACGATCATAAAAATAAGTATGAGAAAAACTTTATAGTATGGATTTTGCTTGCTGAATTTAAATGTTTGTTTTTTTAAGCCTGTAATTTATTTCTGTAAAAATGGTTTGTAATTAAAATTTAAACCATTAATATTTTCTGATGTATACAGTTAAATTTAAGCTTGCATTGATGGTTATAAAGTTTGTTTTTTGGCTTTTGTTGAATTACATGGACTGGAAATAAAGAATTACTAAATAAACACCTTTTCTTCTGTCTATCCGTATTAAGACCGTACTATTGAGTATTGAAATACTGCATCCTAACTTCTTCAAACACACAAAAGTTGTCACCAGTAACTGATTTGTTTGATAAATAAGGTGTGTTTTGAAACCCAAATTGCTATTTCTTTGACTTTTCAACTCCAAAATAAATAGTAGTATTCCCCTCCACGAGGGAAGTGACTTGTGAAGTTTGATTAAAACCTGTTGGTCTTTGGGGGATATAACTCTGAGTAGAGAACTCTGTTTCAGAGTTAAAATTATAGGTAAGTTAACAGAAATTAAGATTGGCTACTCTTGTGTACTTTTCACTGCTGTTTTCTATATTTGAAGATGAGGTCACAACATAAACAAAAATGAGTGGTTTAATGAAATAAATATAAAAATCGTATGTCAAGAACAAATGTGAGAGATAAAAGAAGACCAAAAAGTAAATACATGATAATGAAACACATATTAGACATTTAACTTAATTTAAATCACGGTGATCAAATCTCCGACTTTTCTTCATGCAATCACATTCCAATTCACTATGATGCATTTAGATGTCTGTAACAGATGGAAGTGTGCCCTTTTGACACTATTGTATTACTTATTACACAGTGGATGTTTTTTTATATAACTGCTTATGAAGTCTTGGTAGGATTATTTGTCTCAATATGTAGACCTTGCCAGTAATAAGTAGTTAAAAGTATTTTAACTTTCCTTGCAACTTGATAAGAAAATTGCAGTTTTCTCAAAGTTTAGTCTTTATTTTTTGCTAATAATTGTATCAACACCAAGGCCATTGAATCTCGAGCCTCTTGAAGTTACAAAATTCTCTTATTGAAACAACAATACAAAACATGAAGATGTGATTTCCAACATATTACATTCAGTAGAATGTTTTAGCACTGGGTCTCCTACCTCCAGTTGCGGACTGCCAGTGAGCAGTCTAGGTAGTGTGGTGTTGTACCTCAAACCACCATCCACAGGGGAACAATTTTTACTTTATTATATATATTGTAAGTTAGATTATTTTAATAGCATTTAAATGCGGAAACATCTGTTAGCTGAGTTCTTGCACAGATCTTAAAATATAACGTTGATCAACGGAAACATCGGCACATGTAGATATGAACAACTCGACTTTCAAGGTCTACATGTGCTTATGTTTCCATTTATCAACGTTATATTTTAAGATCTGTGCAAGAACTCGGCTAACAGATGTTTCCACATATAAAAGCTATCTTTAAGTTTTGTACACCAAAAAAACTTTTCAATTATTTTAATACTACATTTACAACTATTATATGCTTGAAGTTTGTTTACTAGTAATGCCCAGTACAATTTTATTTTCATACTTGATGTACTTCCATTTTCTTTCCTCCAATCTTTCAGTTGATCAATGTGATGAATTTATCATCTTTTCCTGTTCCCTCAACCTTAATGCTGCTTCATTCACAACATCATTTGGAGATCTTGCCAGTTGTCCACTTTCTTGTTGGATGATATGCTGCTGTGGCCTGAAAAATGGGTAGTTATTAGAAAAGTACTCAAGTCTCTCACAGGTTTTTACTGGTATTCTTCGATCAAAATCTGTCATCTTGTAAAGAGGTTTAGAGGAATGTGATCCTGTTTATGACCTTCACTGTTAATGGTTGATCAGAAAATTACATGCTCATATGCCTCACATTCTGCTCTGAATGAATTTGACCACTGACCATTCAAATACTAGATGCCCATCTCTTTACACTATTCCTGCTCATATAGTCATGACCTTCCCAACTGAGCCATTTGTTGCTATTACCAGTGTCGGTCTCTGCTCTCTACTCCCTGCCAGGGCTCGATTATATTGATCAATCTTGCCCATCTTCATTGTGTTATCAACTCGGTGCCACCTGACTGGCAGTGAATAATTCTTAATCTCTGTAAAAAATTACAGTGAGAAATGCTTGAAATTTAAAAGATCTTTCATGGAATCATTATTTTAAAAGTGTTTTCTCTTCACATTTTAATATTATTACAAAATTCCAGAACAGTTGGATCGATTTTAAAAATACTAAGAAAGGTGTGACTGGCTGTAAATAAAGTTTGTTGAAAAAATCATATGGGGAAAAAAAATTATTTAGTGTCGAATCAGTATTTCGTAGTTGCAAATAACAAGTATAAACTTGTGGCTGTCTTAGGTTTGAGTATGTAAATATTACATAGAAAATGTTTAACTCAAGATTTTTCTTCCAAACTCGCAAGGAAATATTTATTTACATGAGATTAAGAGGAGCTGTAATATATATCTAAACATGAATGTTCAAGAAAATATTACTTTTCATTTGTATTTATCAAAACAATGAGCATTTAGTACTCTCTTTAAGTGGAATACTTTTTTTAATTTAAATTTGCGACAAAACACTATCAATAAATATAACATGATCTTTATGTTCAACTTGAATTATGAATAAGAATAATCTTTACATTAAAGTTTATCACACTGAAAAGTGCAGAAGATTAGCATTTTGACAACTGAATTAAACTTCTCCATTTAGCACTGTATATATAAATGAAAATAATCAAATTATCTACATCCAAAAATATATGGGCAAATGTTCAGCATTTATATAAGAATGATGAGAAAATACAAAACTTAAGACAAATTTTCATATTGCTTTTCATAACTCAAAATATTAGAATGTTCAGCACCAATGGAATATAAAAAAAAAATTGTCGAAAATAATTCACCGTTACACCAACAACAAAGACACAAAACAAGATTAACTGAAATTTATAACATTTGTCAGAAAAGTTCATAAGTGCATGATATTGAAAGGGAAGAGGATGGATGATCAATTATTATTGAACTATTCAGGTAAGGGTTTTATAATCCTTTTAACAATCTACAGGTAGAAATTGGGTGTTTAACAATTACAGAAATTAAGGGTTTTTTTTTTGTATTCCTATGATAAATATAGAAAAATAAAATTCTCGAAATTAAAATTTAACACATATTAACTGGTGGTAATCTGTGTATGTATGTATGTATGTATACACATACTAGAGTATCACCAGGAATATTTAAAACAATTCCTTTGACTTCTTACCTTGCTGATAGACAGGTAACATGTAATGTCACATAAAGGTGATTAATAAAATTTCCATTTGCTTTTTTTGTTAATGAAGTTTATTTAAATGTTATTGTTTAATTGATAATTAATACTGAGTTGACTGTGAAATGAGTAGTTACTGTCTATTGGAGAAACGTTTATAGAAATATCTTCAAATCAAATTCATGGCAGGAATTTAGGTTTCAAAATCTTGGGGCCTGAAAAAAACCCTGGTGGTCAGAAACTTTTTGCTTCCTTTCACTTCATGCAGTTGAAAAGTTTAAGGTCAAACAAAGTTTGATATAGCCACTGGTCTTAGTTTAATATAGAGAGTGGGTTGTTGAGAGATGCTTGGAGACGAGGATGATGTTGACCCAAGCCTGCCGGGAGAGCTGTGAAAAGACTGTCGTTCTCTGTAATCAGAGCAAAACATGTGCATCTGTTTGTCCATGTGGTAAAGATGTCAGTCAGAGAGAGAACAGTCGAAAAGGACTGGAGCAGACTAAGTGAGTGCAATTCTGTTTCAATAGATTTCTGAGAGATCGATTGAGTTAAAGATATTATGATTAAATTGTTAAAGAGAGTGGGGGCTGGGATAATATAATCCTATAAGAAATATATTGTTGACTATACAATCTGTTTATGCAGCTCAATTGTAAAGAACGACATTATGAAAGTTTTATATCTTTAAATGTCATAGACCTGTTTACTAATGTTCTGACCTCAGAAATCCTTTGCATTACCAAACAAAGATTGTTGAATGATAACTCTTGTAACACACGGAATTGACATGAAGATACAGCCATCATGGAACTAATGACTAGTTGCCTACAATGAAGATTTCTAGGAACAAATCTAGCCATGGGATCATCACTCTCCAGTTTTAGCAGACATTTTCCTGGAAGACTTTGATCCCTTTCATTTACAGATGTAAAACTAATTTTTTTATAAGTGCTATGTTTATGAAACAGTCAAGAAAACTTACTAGCCTTCCTAGAACGTCTTAAATCCATAGACAAAAGAATCCACTTCACTATGGAAATAGAGAAACAAAACAGTCTACCATTTCTTGAGATACTCACCAGTAGACAAAAAGGAAAAATTACTACAACTGTATACACAAAACCTACCCACACTGACAGATACCTACACATCCAAACCTATCATCTAACTTCCATAAAATGCAGTATACTCCAATGACTGAACAAGAGAGCTGAAAACATCTGTGGTGGGACATTCATCAAACATCCTAAGGTGTTTTAAACATAATGGCTATACTTCTACCTTCATTATAAATTCCCCCATAAAAGACCACAACAGAAAGAAAAGATAAGGTGAATAGTACTACTACTGTTTACCTCCCCACTACGTGCAAAACGTAAAAGAAAAACTTAAATGTATAGCCAAGATGTTCAATATAAACTTCTGCTGGAAATCTTACAAAACAACAAGATCTATCCTGGTCAAAAATGAATGGAAACCTACAAATGAGAAACAGGAAGACAACCTGGGACAAGAATAAAAGAACACAAAGACAGCACAGAATTCAGCCATTGCAGAACTATATCAACTGGACACAAAATAGACTGGGACAAAACTAGAATCATTGACTCAGACAAATTTTGGAAAAAAAGAACAACCTGCTGTCTCCATCAGTTATCATTGAAGGTGTTCCTGCAACCTTTAGGAGCCAGACATCACTCAGGAAATCAAGTCAGTTTTCCCAGGATCACCTTCAGTGAAGTTCAACGACTCCCCAAGGGTGGAATTGTTGTCAAGTGCTGCCAACCACAGGATTACAGCTGGATTCTCAAGTCCTGGCCATCAACAGTATTCCACAGAGCCTGTGTCACCATTCATATACCTGAAGCCCTGCTAGAAAAACCTACATGGTCAACAGGAACATATCATCTGATATAACTACTGATGATGCCAAAGAATTGGAGGCTCAGAATACTCATCCAACTTCCATCAAAAGAATTCATTTTTTCAAAACATGTAAACACACTACACTAATTAAAGTCTCATTCCAGGATGCTGACATTGCCAAGAAACTTATCAACAAAGGCATAGCCTCCTGGTTCATCGAGTACCTTGTGGAACCCACCAAAAATCTCCAGCAACAACAGTAAGCCAGTATTTTAAACACCAGCAGTTTATGCACACACAAGCCACCTGCAAGACTTCAGCCAGGTGCATCAGGTGTGGAGGCCTCCACCCTGTCAGTGAGTGCAACAAGCCTCGCTAAGAAACCTGCTACAGTAACTGATCCCACTTGCCAACCTATCACAGCTGTCCAAAATTTAAACAAGTGATGGAACTACACAAGAACAAGTTGGGCCTCACTGTTCCAACCACTGCCAATCCAGTTCAGCTGCAACAAACAAGTAAGCCACCATAACGTCTTTCTCTTGGGGACAAACCCAGTCACCCACCACCTCCTGTGAAGCCTTCAACACAAGCTTGACCAAAAACATAGGCTGAAGCTGCCAGCTCACAGACTCAAACTCCACACCATCAATGTTTATACCAAGGTGGATTCAGTGAACACTTCGTGGCCTTCATCGTTAAGGTCCTAGCCATAGGTCAGGAATACCTGAAGAAATCCAGGTCTGCTCTAACTCTATCATGAGATCTGCTAGGATGCAAATTCCTATCTAAAGCTGGAAAACCTGGATCCTATTTCCCTAGCACAGAATGTGGATAAAATCATTTTCTTACTACATTTAAATATTCAGGGAGACTTCATCACAAAAAGAATGAACTTTGCAGCAGCAGCCAAGACACAGATATAATAATAAATGAAGTTTTAATTTACCTGGTTACAATATGAAATTAACATCCCAATTAACAGGCACTAGGAGCATTGCCCTAATTTACAAAAAGAACATTAAAATTGTCTTCCAAAACAGTCAAATTACCTCAAATAATGAATATATTTTATGTAATACCCATGATGGTAATTATCCAATCATTACCCTCCTCGCCATCTATGTTAAACGTGGTTCTCCAACAAGCATCTTAAGAACACCAGGTCACCAGCAAACACAACCTCTTCTTCACACAAGTTGCCATCTTCTATCTTCACATGCAGGGACCTACACCCGAAGAACTCGAGGGACACACATTCAGTAGGATCACTGCCACCAACCAACCCGTGCCTGAAGACTGCTACAGGTAAATACCTTAATTTGATTTTACTGTATGGTATGTTTCTTACACATTAATATGCAAGGTGACCTAGCCACTAAAAAATATTAACTCTATAATCTAAGCAATAGTACTAATGCTGACATTATCAATGAAACTAGATTAAAAGATAATTCTAACTTTAACATTCCTAGTTATAACACAGTATCTCACCCCAGAGCATCAGAACCATTCCCAGCAAAATAATCAATACCCACACACGTAACTCGTTGATAACCCTGCAAATAAAAACACTTATCACCCACAGAAAACTTTTCATTTATACCAGCGATAACAAAATCAAGGCTGCAATAAACCAAACAACTGCTTAATAATTGAATTAGCAACAAAAAAAAAATGGCATGACTTTTGCCACCAAAACCCACCCATTTTTATTCTGGAAAAAAATCAAACATTAATAATATAACTTACAACAGCAAAAGTGCAGTAATGTGTCAGGAAAAGCTAAATTATTTGTCCGTTATTTCCACCAAACTTTCATCACACCCTACTGTGCTTCATTCAACAACAGTATTCAAACAGTTAACACCTTTATAACAGAGAAGAACCACTTTTAACACCCCCCAACTTCCCCGTCACTAACTCCAGACACCATAAAAAAAAACACATCACAACAGTCAAAATCAAACTTCACACAAAAAAAAACTTAAGAACTTTGCATCTGGCTAGGATACAATCAGTAACATCATTCTTATTAAAAATGCCTTATTTAACCTACTAACCCACTTAAGCTCGCTTTTCAACCTTTTTGATCGAGTACAATAGGTGTTTCTTAAGAAATCCGTTTGTCATACTTCCCTTGATCTTAACTTGCTAAAATACACAGTGAACAAAGTTTTACACAAACGACATTATTTACATGTCTACAAAGTACAATTACTGCAAGCCCTCGAATCAGATGATGGACAAAGATGCAAGGACTTTACAGTGGAAATCCTTGATCGGATAGATTAGAATAATGAATACCTGGCAAAGGTTTTATTTTCAGACAAGACTACATGTCAGTTGCCATAATGTCTGTATTTGTGAGTCACAAAACCCACATGTGGTGTACGAGCACAAACATGACAGCCTAGAGATTATTGTGTGGTGTGGCTTGATGCATGATAGAATTATCGAGCCATTTTTCTTTGCTGAAACAACTGTGACAAATTACCTAAATAAGCTCTAACTGTTTGTTTTCCTTATGTTATTTTTCAACAAGACAGTAGTCTTGAGGTCCAGGAGTTCCCAAATAACACATTCCCAGACAGATGAACCAACATGATGGTCCCCCCATGTTCCTTGACATAACCCCATTGGATTTTTTCTTGTGGGGGGTTGTGAAAAATCAGGTATATTAGAGACCTGTAGGTGATATTGTGGATCTTCGCCACAGAATAATCTGAGATGATGAACAACCCTGGAGGGAGATAGAATATTAACTAGACATTCTTCGAGCAACAAACAGTGCACACGTGGAAGTATACTAAGACAAGAGTTGTACGTCAAGTTAAATAAAACCAGCGTGTTCTATCTGTAATATTTTTGAAGTTATTAATTTTTAAAATGGGGCACAATTTATGGACACCCTGTACATACTAATCAACAACCTTTTTAGCCCCACAACTCGGGCACTATCTGCATAGATTATTTGGCATCTGGGTAGTAAAAGTTGATTTTTCTCAAGGTTCTTCCACTTTCCTCTCACATTAAAAACCTAAGTGTAGGATCTATAGATTCACACCCAAAAGGCCAAGGCCGTTGAGGGTGCCAATGTTTGAATTTTAATTAATGATACACTATAGACAGTCTGTTTTTATATTTCCGAGATTTTTTTGCTTGCTTGATCTTCATTATCCTCGCGTACTTAAATCTAGATTATACAATTAATATCATCATCAAGACCATAGTTATTATTAGTTTTATTTTTTTACATCCTCATTATTTCCTCTCTGTATAATTATTAATTTCTTTCTTTCTGTAAAATCTTCAGCCACAAGTTGGACGAAGAGAAAAAAATGGGGGACTTCATTTAAGAATTCTTAAATCAAAATACCTGCTAAGTCAAAGCTCAAAGTGACCCCAAGACAAAAGACTTTTGAAACATCATCCCCTAGACTTAATCTGCATAAGTAGATTGTATAGTCACCAATATATTTCTACAAGTGTTTCTCTAGGAGGCACTAGCTGCCCATTTCACAGTCAGCTCAATCTGAATACTCTGCCTAAGCTATCAAAAATTAATAATTTTGTGTTTTAATGAAGTTAATAAAATTTATATCTATATAATCTTTTTGTTTCTGCACGTATTTTTCTATACACATACAAATAGGTTGTATCACCTAAACTATTAGTGTTTCATTGTTTTTGTGAATCTTGTTCATTTCTTGATTTAAAGCATATACTGAATATAAAAATTGTCCACATAAGTTTCACATCAAGATGCAATAAAAAACAATACCGATTAGAAATGTATACGAGGGAAATTCTTTGATGTAGCAACCCCACCACACTGAAAACAACAAATGTACCAGAGCTATCACAAAATTAGAAAACAATTTTCTTACGATGAAAGATCATCCCATCTCTCTCTCTCAAACACTTCTGACCGGACACATGTACAACATAAAGATGTTAAAAGAAAAAATGATTTATACTTTGATAAACTTTCCTCTAACATATACAAGTTACAAGCTGTAGATACCAATAAAAAAACAACAACAAAATTACAGCTTTTTAAAATAAAGCAAGTTACACTTTAATCCCATACATTATTGATGCAATTTATCAAAAAGACCAAAACCAAGAACATATAATGTAAATGCATTTAGCTACGTTATTAAATACACTACACAGTGAAACTCCAAAAAAAAAAAAGTGGACAAAAATATTACAGCAATTCAAGGTTTCTTATTTTATATTAAAGGGCTTTCTTTGCCAAAACTTTCAATTAAAGCGAGAGAAAACAGACACTGTGAAGCTATATAATGGAGGTTACAATTAAACTGGTTTAACAAAGTAAATAAATTTAAAAAAAAAGGTGTTTCCTCTCCAATATAAGGTTTTATAAAAACATTTCCTGTGTCACAATAGTTAAAAAAGTGGTATGTATAACTCTTTTAAGATCTTGTGTTGAAAATGAATGTAGTCTTATGTAAATACTTAATTATACTTATCATAAGACACCAGTGTTAGGCCTATTATACTCTACATTTTTAACAAGTCCCTTATGGATTTTCAAGAATTAGAAGAGTGTACAGTAGTAGTATTCCAACCACAGTGTTCACCATATCAACTGTCATTTCACTCAATCCAGAACTCATCAGGTTGGCTGGGACACAACAAACACATTAGTGACCAGAACACTATTTCAAAAGGTAGCAAAGCACGATTATAATTAATAACACCTGTCAATTATTGGAACTTTTCCAGGTGATAGATCACAAATTCTACCCCTCCCCCTCTTTTTAATAAGGAATGACTGGGTGGCTCAAATTTTCTCCAAAACTGGAGCATATGCATTAATCCTTTCAACATAAAGTAGTTTTCAAACTTCCACCAAAATAGAAGAATTACATTAATCTTTTGTAATATAAAGTAGTTCTCATGTCTATACAAAACTGGACCATATACTTAATGTTATCCACATAACATAGTTTTGAAAACTATTCAAAACTAGAGCATATGCTTTAATGTTCTCAACATAAAAGTTTTCAAAACCACCTGAAACTGGGGCATACGCTTTAAGGCTCTCAACATAACACAGTTTTGAGAACTGTTTTTATTCACACTTTATATAACCACTAACAAAACTAACTAACACAGTTTTTAAAAATACAAACTTAGATATAACTACCTGTATATATAATTATCATGTCGCTAAGTAAGCTATACTTGGATAAATAACAGAACCACTAGTCATTATGTACGTCTTAATGGGTCAAACAGATGATGTAAAAGTTTCAAGAAATCCTTAAATTTAATCATCAGATTAAGAAAGAAAAAAAAACGTAACTGAAATAGCTAGCAAAAATATTCAACTTTGATATATACAGATGATGACAAAGTAGTCATCATGTGAGAGCCAAGACGACGAGTCCAGACTCTGCAACGTAAAGATGTAAGTTACAGGAATAATAGCCTAGGTTCCCCCCACACCCCGTGTTAAATGGGTGGAGTCCTTGTTGCAGTACAGACCAAGGCAGTGTGCCCATTCAATCCCACAACTGATCACAAAATGAACATCTTAACCACTAGGCCTTAATTCTCAAACAACAAGGGTAATTACATAACAAGATCAGGGAATGAAGCAGCAATCAATTTTACATTAAAGAACAGACTGTTTACTTCAGTAAACCATCATAAAGAGTCAAGAGTATACTTTGGTCTACATACTAACAGTCACTTATGAAAAGAAGATACTCAAATGTCCATATTTCATGGGTAGTTTCAAAATATGTTATAAACACTTGCTGTTGGAAGTCATTAAACACCATACTCAATGAGAGGATGCTGGAGTATTATCTATTACCTTTACAGTATTTTGTTCACTTTCTAAGCAACACATTATCTACAGCTACTAGCTACATTATAAAATAAAGAGTAAGGCTATCACTCAAGTCTGACAAACTACATCACCATGTTAAGTGCACTTGAAAGAAGTGGACATGTGAAGATATAAATGTAAATAGCACAGCCCGTTGAGAAATCTCCACCGAAACTTCACAACTTTAAGATTAATAGAAAAAATTACATACTTAAAATAAGTATTTCAGCATTTGCTAAATTCATAAAAACCAAGAGATATAAAGTGTGAAATTACTTTATTAAACATCTTAAGAAACAACTTTTAAAAAACAGTTAAAGCCTACTGAATATCAACCTTTTTAAAACAGTGAAGCCCTCAAAACTTTGGCATAATTTCCTTATAATTAAAAACACTAAACACACACAAAACTCGAATTATGTTAAAAGTGCACAATGCTAAATGACCTCAACAACTTTCAACTTGACCCTGTAGTACGGCTATATTGATACTCTTACACAACCCGTTTTTGAACTTGACCCTGTAGTACGGCTATACTGATACTCTTACACAACCCTTCTTTCAACTTGACCCTGTAGTACGGCTATACTGATACTCTTACACAACCCTTCTTTCAACTTGACCCTGTAGTATATAAACCTTCAAAATCAGACTAGGTGTTACTATATTTCTGCCTTATAAGATATATGATTTGAGAATAGTTTCTGTAGAAACCAAACTTTCAGTTCGTAGCCATTTGTTTAAACTATCTACAAATTTCTGGAGATGGTTTAGTTGCTTCACAACTGTTTTAGCTAACAGTCTGAAAACAATCCTCAGAGGCTAAAAAGGTACAAACACCCCAGACTTGAGGTGACCTTTTGATAATTCAGGTTTGGTCCCAAACCATGACATCTTCCAGTTCACAGTTTCTTTAATAAGTCTTTCTTCTTCAGGAGTAAAATGAAGAAGCACTGATACAGCTCTAATGAGTTGCTGAGCCTAGTAAAAAAAAAAACAACAAACAAACAAATAAACTAGTCCTTGTGAAGTAGTAAAGAGGTCATAAAACTTCTATGTTAACAAAACTATGTTAGTACATGATCAGGAAACCAAGACGATTATCAGAATTTGGTTTAATGTTTAAAGACTAGGTTTTAAAAATTATCAGGCAACTATCGTATAGTCAACCAAAGATCCAGGTTGTTAAGAAGAGGATAAATTAAACTTATGTATACTAGTTAATACTTTACAAACCATAACAGTCATGGTTGCCAACCATTTCATCAAAACTTCCAAAATTTGAATTATGTAAACTTGATTTACCTGAAACATTTAATTTCTATTAATTACGAACACTACAGTATATTTTAACTTCTATTAATTACGAACACTACAGTATATTTTAATTTCTATTAATTACGAACACTACAGTATATTTTAATTTCTATTAATTACGAACACTACAGTATATTTTAATTTCTATTAATTATGAACACTACAGTATATTTTAATTTCTATTAATTACAAATACCACAGTATATTTTAATTTCTATTAATTACGAACACCACAGTATATTTTAATTTCTATTAATTACGAACACCACAGTATATTTTAATTTCTATTAATTACGAACACTACAGTATATGAGCAGAAATAAAAAAATAAAAATAAAAATGCTGACTAACTTACATTTTCCTATTTCTGTTATCCCTAGCATTTTAGCTGTAGAATATTGACGAGATTTATATTTATTTTTCACTTCTCACTTTTATAATGAATATTTAACTAACCTCACACTCCCTGGATGTCATGAACTTCAAGATGACATGTCTTAGGTACTTAAAGTTGACATCATCTTTCTTTAGGTCCAAGTGATTTTGATTATGGCTAGAACCTTGGTGCTCTAGTACATTTAGGTGAGAGGGAAAAGACGAGCCCAGTTCTACACTGTCAGATGTCTTGAAGTTATCGTTGTTTTTCTGAGCCCGAAATTCTTTTTGAAGAGTTTTCTTCATATCCACTAACCTCTGTTGTTGTAACTTGATGGTCTACAAGTTGAAGGAAAAATTGACTAAAGAACAAAAATAAACAAACTAATGTAATCAGAAAAACAACAGATTGACACTTTGCATGATCATGTCAAGTCCTGAAGTTACTACAACATACATACCTGAAGCATTTAAAAACTAAATTTAGTTTTTCTACTACTTACTCTCTCTATACAAAACTCGGTTCAGTTTCTTTAAATAACAGCTATGGTTATTTCATCTCGATGTTCAACATCTAGAATCTGTCACAGTAATCGAGGTGGACAAAGTAATTTTTTTCTATGACATAATTCTTTGAGAGACCTCAATCACAGTTTTGAAAACAATTGGGAGTCGATTTTTTGGATACTTCTACTGAACAGTGTAAACAAACTGTTACCTTGTTTCTGTCAGCTAGTTGTTCTTCAAGATCTTCTACAACAGACTTTAGTTCTAACACCCTGGCTGAAAGTTCCACATGTTGTGTGGCTTGTTTCTCAAATTCATCGATCTAATAATTATGATAAAAACATTCATAATATTTATAACAGCAACAAGAAACATTTTGATGTTTCATTTAATTCTTGCAGTATTCTCTAATAAATTAATGCAGTGCTTATCATAATTACATATTATTACACTAAATATTAATAATTGTATTACAATGGACTCTGTACAAAATTGCTGTTACATCTAAATCATTATCAAATGATTCTACACAAAATGGCACCCTACAAAGATGCCGGTATGAAACACAATCTTGTACATGGTAAACATGCAAACCAACACATTAAATTTAGTGCCTGTATTTTCAACTATTATCTATACTGTACCCCCTGTGGTTTTGTCTTACAGTTCTCAAATAATTCTGTTTCGCTATCGTGTTGTAAGTAGAAGTATGCAGTTAACGGAATTTTCTGTTTGGTTAATTTAGGCTCATTAATTGATTACATTCAACTAATTGATTATTCTCATGAGATGGCTGAAAAAAAACAAAACTGGTTAGTCTCACGAGTTCACCAAAAAAAAACTCCCTAAAAGTAACTTATAACGTTACAATTAGGGTTTCGATACCTACAGCATACACAGCACATATACATTGTATCACTTTGTGACTAAGTACAAACATAATGGCAATATTTTAATTACTTGATTATTTTCATGAGTCATGCCACTAATTGATTAAAATGAACAAACCTGAATTAATTAAATTCTAATGGCGATATTTTGATTACTAGATAGTTGGAATAAACAATAACACTAGTTGATTATTTCTGTAATATTAATCAACCGAACTGTAATATTGATTAATTAATTGGTTATCTCATGTGACATTACTCAATGCTCATAAATAATCACTTATATTGAATTAATTGCCCTGCTCCAGTCATAAGTAATTACTTTAAGATTATTACGTGCTTAACCTAGATGGCATGATTTAGATTCTAAAGTTCTATGAATAATCCACCTTTTATGTGCATATAGTCATCATAATTGTATAGAATGGTTATGAGCGTAATAAAGCACTGTTTTAAAAAAAAATATACGATTAAAAATTATAATTGTTTTACTACAACTTATAAGCTTGAACACTTACTATCAAGATGTAATTAGAGCTGATATTTGATTGAGGGAAGTTATATCAATATTTTACACAAACTTGACAGATTTTTTGCTAGATACGTATAACTGTTCAACAGTCATACAAGATATTAAACTTTCTTTTGTACTAGTTTTAAAAAGTTATTCTGTTAAGAAAATGTATATGCAAGCAGTGATTTAATAATCATTAATACTTGTTACAAAAGCTATTTTTATCTGTTAGAATATTTTACAGCTATTACAATTTACAGAAAAAATTTTTTTAGGCATTAACTGAAACATAAAAAAATATTTTAGAAAAATCTGTTAATATGCAAATACGTAATCATAATCATACATAAATAATAATTTGTCATCTGCAGTAATATCAAATAAGTTTGCTTGTTTGCTTTATTTGTTGAGACGAATGCACGACTCAACTTACTTAGACGAAGATTATTCAGAAGGTAAATCTCTTGTCCTGAAATTTAAGATCCATTCAAACATTTGTATTATTAGTGTCTAAAACCCTTTCAAAATATTTATTCATACAGCTGATTCCAGTTTTCAGTTGTATGACAGCTGCAGTTATTCCATATGACAGTTTTACCACTGGATACAAATATAACTGACCCCTTACATCACACAAAAACTTATAACTGTCCCATACATCATACAAAAACTTATAACTGTCCCATACATCACACAAAAACTTAAAACTGTCCCATACATCACACAAAAACTTATAACTGTCCCATACATCGCACAAAAACTTATAACTGTCCCATACATCGCACAAAAACTTATAACTGTCCCATACATCGCACAAAAACTTATAACTGTCCCATACATCGCACAAAAACTTATAACTGTCCCTTACATCGCACAAAAACTTAAAACTGTCCCTTACATCACACAAAAACTTATAACTGTCCCTTACATCACACAAAAACTTATAACTGTCCCATACATCGCACAAAAACTTAAAACTGTCCCATACATCGCACAAAAACTTAAAACTGTCCCATACATCGCACAAAAACTTAACTGTCCCATACATCGCACAAAAACTTAACTGTCCCATACATCGCACAAAAACTTAACTGTCCCTTACATCGCACAAAAACTTATAACTGTCCCTTACATCACACAAAAACTTATAACTGTCCCTTACATCACACAAAAACTTATAACTGTCCCTTACATCACACAAAAACTTATAACTGTCCCTTACATCACACAAAAACTTATAACTGTCCCTTACATCACACAAAAACTTATAACTGTCCCATACATTGCACAAAAATTGCCACACCTTTCTTTCTTTCCCTTGAACTTCTTCTGTCTCTTGCTGCATTTTTAATTCCCTGAGTTCTTGTCGCACAAGTTCTAGTTGATTCGAGCGTTCCGCATTCCTTATCATTAAACTGTCTTTCTCTAAAAGAAATTTAAAATAATCTCTAAAGTAGGTTGTCATCACTACATTGGTCATAATATCCTTCCCAAGTCAACAGAAAACTCACAGAGAAATTGTACTGTTGTTGAAACTTAAGCATACAGAAGCAAGCCTGAAAAACCATCGTAATTAGCCATTAACATTATGATTTATTAGATGAATGAAACAATCCAAGAGCATGACCACAGCCAACGTCTAAAGTTTTTGTTAACATTTATATTTCCATTATTTATGTTGTTAATGATCTAACATCTTTTATTACATTAAACACAAGTAATATAAATATATATATATACTTGAAAATTGTGATAATAACATTATAAAGTTTAATTTATATCATACCGCATTATTTGTTGTATTAAGTAGGAGAAAGATGGTTGCCAAAATATTGTTGAGTTAATAACTGTTGAAATAGTTAGAATTAATATTTTCACTTCAATTAAAAAAATATACTGAAATGCAAGCATGCACTTGACACATCAAATGTGCTCACTGATCATGATAAAGTTATATATTTTTATCATAAATGTAAGCAGAATTAATATATAATTAATAAATGTAGAATTAATATTTTCACTTCAATTAAAAAAATATACTGAAATGCAAGCATGCACTTGACGCATCAAATGTGCTCACTGATCATGATAAAGTTATATATTTTTATCATAAATGTAAGCAGAATTAATACTTCAGAAAAGAGGCTTGGTTTTTGTATGCGTTTAATAGAAAATGATATGGAAAAACTTGGAGATTAACACATTCCATAAGTTTATATTGGATGACGAAAACATTTTGTTCCATATGTTTTACCTATATTTAAAGCTTTTTTTTTAAATCACTTATTATCTTCCAACTACATGCAAAAAATTATTATCTGATGTCCAATGTTTGAACAAGAGAAGTTGGTCAACAGCATCTTACAGTTTATAACTGTTTTTTTTATCACAGATTCATAAATATTTTACATCCCAAATAATAGGCTTTCAAGCACCTTTGGGCAAAAACTTAGAGCTTATTTTCAATTATTTTACAGGGTAAATTAAAAAATATTAGGGATATTTATGATTTTCTTAGTAGATATTTTTTCCAAACAATTGCATCAGGAACTTTTTTTTTAAACATGACTAATTTTTCTTCTTAACTGTTGTTTCTCCAGTGTTTGATTACTAGTGCATACTTCATGATATGAAACTACGAGTATCCATTTTTGAAGTATCCTGATGATCAAGTTGAAGATAAGGATTCACTGGGAAAAACTGACATGAAACAAACCGGCTAAGAAACATTGTTTAAATACATATTTACACATTTAAAGTTTTTGCTAAGAGACATACAAAATTTAGGAATTTCCCTCAAAATTATGGCTTTTTTTTAGGAACCACCCCCATTTAGTAATTTTAGAGACTCCTGAAAGTATTCTTATCCTAAATGTACACATACTAAATATTAATTCCTCTCCATCATCAATGAACACAAACTATCTTACCAAATGGAATAATTCCGATAATACTAACCTTGTGTTACAGTGTGCAATTCAGCTTCTCGCTGCTTAAGAACCTCTTGAACTTCTTCTAGGGAAGATAATTGTGTCTTCAACTCTTTTTCCAACTGCTCAATCTGGAACCAACATGCATATATATATTAGCAGATTTTAATATATTTAATATTGTAGAACAAAAACACATGCTGAATATCCTGATTTCAGAATATTACACGATAATTTATAATATATCATGTATTCTACACATTCTTTCTTTGGTAGTGAAAAGTTTAGAAACACCTGATTCTTCACCTCCACTACAATATCCACTGATCTTGCTAAGTAAATTATAACAAAAAAAAATTGAAATTGTAAACATAATTCAAAAAGGAACAGCTGCAAACAAAAAAGATAAATTTCGCTTTAAGAAGTTAACTTGCGCAAAATTTAGCGACTCTTCATCTTTTCTTAAATATGCAGTATCTGCGCGTTTTTTTAATATTTGCTTTTAAATTAAGAAATTGAGTAATATATAGTATTAACATTTGATTTACAATCTACAGTTTGATACCAAACTTATTGACATAAATTCATGACATAGTTAAATAAAATTTTGAATGCGAGTCAACAAACGAGATGACATGACCTTTCACTCATGACCCGTCTCGTAAGGGTTAATCAGTAATCATAACTAGCATGTGGCTATTTAAGCAACACTTATCACAAGATCAAACTGTTCTAATGAATACAAAAGCAGCATATGACCATTACATTCTTTACTATCAATTTGACTAAGATTAAAAAAATTCTACCAGAGCATAAAATGATTTTGTAACCAAATAAGTTGATGATGTCAAACATAAAGTAAATGGTATATTACACACAGTAGACTCATTACGTAAAGCTTATACTAAATTCATTATTCAAAGTAGGCAATAGGTTCATTATGACAATCAAATACTACCTTCATTATGTCAAGACTACAGTGATGTGTTTGTTTTGAATTTCTCGCAAAGCTACACGAGGGCTATCTGCGCTAGCCGTCCCTAATTTAGCAGTGTAAGACTAGAGGGAAGTCATCACCACCCAACGCCAACTCTTGGGCTACTCTTTTAGCACCGAATAGTGGGATTGACCATCACATTATAACACCCACACAGCTAAAAGGGTGAGCATGTTTAGCAGGATGGGGATTCGAACCCGCGACCCTCAGATTGCGAGTCGAGCACCCTAACCACTTGGCCATGCTGGGCCTACAGTAATGTGATCATGCCAATACGCCAATACTGTTAAAATATCTAATCTTCTATCCTAGTGTCAACAATAGTTAATCATAGTTTTTGTTATAGTTGTTAGTATTTTACTGAATTTTTATTTATTTAGAATACGAGAACAATGTCCTATAACTATTATAACTTAACTGACTATGAAGACGCAAGTAAAATAATTGAAAAGCTGTAATGAAAATGAATGGTAAATTAAAACTGTCTTTCTATTGTTTATACACGATGTACTATCAAACGTCAGAGAGAATTATTGGCAATTTGTAAAAAAGACAATGTAATAGAAGGGTGTGGCAAGCGGGTTCGACATTCTTTTTTATACATGACTAAAGAAAGGAGATTGGTGGTTAATAAGATTAGAATATGAGTTAGTAATATCCACACACACATATATATAAAATATAATTGTTTAGTTCATGCTACTTTCAGACATCATATAGGGGGGTGACAAAAAAATAAAAATGGGCAAATCAGAACAAACAAATGTTATGTGATACAAACAAGTGAAATTTTAGAATTTATTTAAATATTTCCTGTTGAAATTGAAATTTATACAATATTAAAAATTAAATTATAAACCATTTTGAAACCAAGTTTAATTCGTATACATTGACAATACAGTAGTTTAGTTAGTTTTCATTATAAGTCTGTAAACTGTCATGACATGTGCACCTTGACCTACCCATGTCCATAGCGTTAAGTCAATGAAGCACCCCCAGAACACTATATTATTGGTTTTTTATAATTACTTTCTTGTTTGTTTTAGAAAACTTAATTTTTCATTCCTTATCTAAAACATATACAATTTTCTTTTGTTTTCAATTCTGTCATTCTGTTAAAAATATCCTAACTTACTCTGTTGGATGCACAATCAAACTCTTTACTAGATGAATGAAGTCTTTGAGACAGGATTTCACACTCTCCTTCCTTCTTTCTAAAGCCTTCCTGTGAAGTGGAATAACATGGAAGATCACATAAACAGCGATAGCACTTTCATATCATAACTTTTAGCTCTTTCCACATAAAAACACATTAACAACTAAATAATTTTTAGAAAAAGAAAGAAAAAAACATTATAGTGTATAGCTTTAAGAACACATTTCCTGTTAAGCTCAAAAACTAGGTGGAATGTGGCTTTTATCTAGTGTACACAGCATCACTTATGGGTTTTCTCACAATGCTGCTGTAGTATCTTGAAAAGATGAAGTACCTAAAATCTTTTCGTATAATTAAAACTCATGTTAGATACTCACAGAAACAAGCACATCCAATGTATATTCATATTAGATACCCACAGAAACAAGTACATCCAATGTATATTCATGTTAGATACCCACAGAAACAAGTACATCCAATGTATATTCATGTTAGATACTCACAGAAACAAGCACATCCAATGTATATTCATTTTAGATACTCACAGAAACAAGCACATCCAATGTATATTCATGTTAGATACTCACAGAAACAAGCAAATCCAATGTATATTCATGTTAGATACCCACAGAAACAAGCACATCCAATATATACTCATGTTAGATACCCACAGAAACAAGTACATCCAATGTATATTCATGTTAGAAACTCACAGAAACAAGCACATCCAATGTATATTCATGTTAGAAACTCACAGAAACAAGCACATCCAATGTATATTCATGTTAGATACTTACAGAAACAAGAACATTCAATGTATATTCATGTTAGATACTCACAGAAACAAGTACATCCAATGTATATTCATGTTAGATACCCACAGAAACAAGTACATCCAATGTATATTCATGTTAGATACCCACAGAAACAAGTACATCCAATGTATATTCATGTTAGATATTCACAGAAACATAAAATAACATGTTTTTTATGTGCATCACAAACCTAGTTCAGATCAAAGAAATATAAATAAAGGTCCTTCTGTTTGTAGTTCCTAACATTTTACAAAAAGTTTAACTTGCATTATAATAATGAAATCAACTATGAACAAAGTACTTACCACCTAGTAACATACTAGAAAAACACTTAAACTGTTCCTATCAATAAAAAACATGTGATTCTGTTAAAACACAGGAAAAAGATAATTTAAAAAAAATTTATTCCTGCTTTGGTCAATGAAATAAGAAAAAAAATATCTTTAATGTTGAATGCTTTTACCTGACCACACTTTTCTTATTTTGTCAAATAAACAGCTCTTTTTTTGTATGTAGTTAAGAATAAAGCTACACAATGGGTTATGTATGCTGTGCCACAGGGATCGGGAATAAAAAAACTATTCACAAAAATAAATGTGATTGTTTTGGTACAGGAATCATTATGAAAAGGAGAATTTTATAAGAATTTTTCTTTCTTTAAAAGAAAGAAGAATAATTATGTAGATAAGCATGATTCTTGTGTTATTCAAAATAATCCTAATTAAAGATAAACTACCATACAAATAAAAATGAATCCTTTCCTTTAAAAAAATGATAAAGTGCATAAAAAATGTACAATTATTTCAAACCTGCATATTGGAATAACTTGGATTAACAAATAACAAGCGATATGCTTTGGCCAATACTTCTACAAAAACTACAACAAGGTGAAAACATTTCAAAAACTTGCTTGTCGGTGAAAATGTAAAGCAAACGAATCATTAAAAGTATGGACATAGATAGCTATTTAAACATATTTTTCTAAACTAATTATGTTTTTTCTGTCCAACATATTTTCATAATTTACTTGTATATACTTCTACAAAAACTACAACAAGGTGAAAACATTTCAAAAACTCGCTTGTCGGTGAAAATGTAAAGCAAACGAATCATTAAAAGTATGGACATAGATAGCTATTTAAACATATTTTTCTAAACTAATTATGTTTTTTCTGTCCAACGTATTTTCATAATTTACTTGTCACAGACAAATAACATTTCCCTACTTTTAAGTATTTACTATTTCCGCACATCGGTACTTCATCGTTCTCTTAAAATTTGGAAAGACTGTATTTTAACCCTTTAGATACTAATGAAAAGATCAGTTTCTGACATTAAATTATGTTCCATAACTGTGGAAAATGACAATGGTTTGATAATCTTCACCTTCAATTTTATATTTTCATCCCTTAAGAATGCCATTTGACTCTCCATTCCTGTCTCTTTTTCTAAGTACTTTGTTTTAGCTGCCATCAAGTCATTCTGAAAATTTGACACACAAAACATATAACCATATTGTAAAACAGAAGAATATTTACAAAAACAGCTTAGAGACAAAATTAACGAAGCTAGTGTTAAAGCCTAGAAATAAATATCCCAATTTTTTGGGTAACATTTAGTCATCACAGTAAATTTTTGTCCACATGTTCTTAAAAAATTACCTAATAGAAAAAGTAAACTGCTTGGTAAGTAATATTTCTTTAGCTCTGGCAACCTTTGATATTCAAGAAATGGCCTTTTTGTCAATTTTCATTCTTCATCACGATTAACAATTTGAAATGGTTTGCTCAACCGCTATTAACATCTTAATGGTTTATAAATGACCGACTTATTTCCACTAGAACCTTATGAGGATATTTAAAACACTCCTAGAGAGCTTACTATCCTTCTTTGTGCTTCATCACTCTCCCTCTGCTTTTGTACTGTCATTTCTGATAGAGAAGATCCTAACAGTGAGATATGGCCTTCTAATTCCTGTTTTTTGTTATGGGCTTCAGAAGTTAGTTTACTGATTTCTTCTTCATACTCCACTCTCTAAAGAAAACAAGGTAAAAAAGAAATTCTAACTTGATGTGGTACCCAATCATTTAATTGAACATTAAGAAAAAAATCTTGTTGTGTATGTTAAGTTTAATACGAACTGAGAGAAAAAAAAAGTTTGCTTCTAAACTCTCACACACATTTAGCCTATCTTACTACAAGGATAAAATGAATTCTGTCATTTAAAGCCAATATAAATAAAGCATTTTTACTAAATATTTGTCCATTAGCTTACAAAGCCTTTACTGAGTGAAAGGTTACTTTCATGCTAAGAATAAAAGTACTTCATTTTACAGTTTTTTCATAATCATTAAAACCTCCTTAATGAATATCATCGGTTCTTCTTTTTTTAAATTATAATTCCATTAAATTGGTGTAGATCAATTTTACTAACATTTTCTGTCACTCCTCCTGCTGGAAAACTGTAGCATCTCTCTCTCTTCCAGACACGTACAATTTAAAAAGCAATATGATAGAAGCAGAAAAGATGACTATATGGAAGTTTTAAGGATTAACACAGATGGGAAGAATTTCAGGTATCTTCTAAACTTAAAATATTTCATTAAAATATAAAGTTATGTACCAGTCTAGCTAATTCCTTGTCTCTTTCTTGTATTTTCTCTTCTAGAGTCCAAACTTCTTCTTCCTTCTGTTTTGCTTTCTTTCTAACTTCAATGAGTTGTTTTTCTAATTTTGAAAACTCTTCACCATCTTCTGTTATTTTCTTATTAAGGAGGGATATCTGTTAAAATACAAAAAATTTAACATGTCATAATATTCTTCTCAACATGATCTAACTAAGATAGGGATATCTGTTAAAATACAAAAAAATTAGCATGTCATAATATTCTTCTCGACATGATCCAACTAAGATAGGGATATCTGTTAAAATGCAAAAAATTTAACATGTCATAATATTCTTCTCAACATGATCTAACTAAGATAGGGATATCTATTAAAATACAAAAAAACTAACATGTCATAATATTCTTCTCAACATGATCTAACTAAGATGGCTTCCTCAGAAACACATTAGTTTTGGGTAAGCTACGAGTTTGTGAAAAACTATAAACCCTGACCATATTTTATCAATCATTATACTCTGAAAACAAAGAATCATTGGCGGGGGGGGGGTTTAAAGTTTCAATCAAACATTCGTCATGTTCTATCTTAAACGGTTTTCGTTATAAAATGCTTGTAAAGTTGTGAGAAATGAAAAATTTTCACATTATAAATATAATATTCTGGTTGAACAATAATAAAAAGATTAACTTGTATCAACATGTTTGCCCAATTTTTAAAACAATTGATGATAAACTCTAAAAAGTACAAAAAAAATAAACATGATGTTTGGAAACAAGAAGTGATAATTAGAGATTATAGAATACAATAAATATGTTTTTAAGAAAATCAGTTCCTGAACATCTGATTGTAATAAGCCTTGTCATATATTACATCTGATTGTAATAACCTTGTCATATATTACATCTGATTGTAATAAACCTTGTCATATATTACACCTGATTGTAATAAACCTTGTCATATATTACATCTGATTGTAATTAACCTTGTCATATATTACATCTGATTGTAATAAACCTTGTCATATATTACATCTGATTGTAATAAACCTTGTCATATATTACATCTGATTGTAATAACCTTGTCATATATTACATCTGATTGTAATAACCTTATCACATATTACATCTGATTGTAATAACCCTTTCATATATTACATCTGATTGTAATAACCCTTTCATATATTACATCTGATTGTAATAACCCTTTCATATATTACATCTGATTGTAATAATGTTATCATATATTACATTTGATTGTAATAAACCTTGTCATATATTACATCTGATTGTAATAACCTTATCATATATTACATCTGATTGTAATAACCTTATCATATATTACATCTGAGTGTAATAACCTAGTCCGAGTGTAAAAGTTCAGTTACTAACCATACTTCCTGGACTATAGCCTAAAATTGATATGTATTTTTAAACCTCACAGTACTTCTTAGATTTGAAAAACTGCATTACTTCACTGAACTTGTAAAATATTGTTTATAAGTTTATCTGGCCTTCAGAGGCAGTGTATAAAAGAGGCTTGGGAAGGCTTAGTCTCCCCAAATAAAATGACACTTACAGTGTATTGTCCTAAGAAACTTAAAAATATTATACAGAATATGTGACAGAACAGCCTACGAAACAAAAGACTCACACACTGCCTATGCTGTTCTTCCTGTAAGCAAGGTTATACTGATTCTATCACAAGAAAATTTCTGACTCAATTGAAGGAACATGCAAATTTAACCTTTGAATAGGTCAAGTGTACAGAAACAAGCCTTATGTGATTATTACATCCACTCAATTTGCTTTAAGATCTTCACAAAGTCTCCGTATAAGAGAGCTTGTTCATTCACAAGTTGCAGCCGGAAAACAACCAAACAAGTTTTGCTTAGAAGCTGGTACTGGTTTTATAACCACATTTATCTGTTCTGTAGAAGTGAGTAAAATATACATGAAGGCAGAAAATGATAACAAAAAAAAACAAAAGAACCTCCTGTCCACTTGAACAGCAAAATTATAATGATGGACGTTAATATTTTTAAAATGAAAGAAATTTACAAGTACAATATTTTCTTAGTTATTAGACCAAAACTAATAAATAACTACAATTTCAAAAATATATTGTTAACTACAAGCAGAGATTAGGAGAACATCCCAAAATTTCTATTGTATACTTGTGTTTCTAAATTCTTGTTCTTCTCACTCCATGTTGATTTTACTTCACTCAAGTGCTCTCGCGATTCTTTTAACTTCTTTTCCAAGTGCTCTCGCTGCAAAACATCAACATGAAATTAGAGCTGGGCAAGTAGTGGAATTTGTTAATCAATTGCTAGGCTCAATTAAAGAATACATTCAAATTAAATTAATCAATTATTAACACCAGATTTGTATAGCTGGAATGACCATAAATAGTAACAATCAGAAACAATATCATAATGGCAATATTTCAATTACTTGAAGAGTTGGAATATTCAAAGATAGTAACAACGGCAAACACTAATTTTGATTAGTTGATTACTTTGTGACATTAAGAAATTTATTCACAATTTCAGTTAATTATTTTATGTGACATTTCAATACTCATAGATAATCAATTTATCACCCAGCTCTAATGGAAATACAGAACATTTAGCTTTAAGTGTTACTTCCTCGAGTAGGAAATGTTTTAAAATCAGATAGATAGAAATAACACAGTGTTACAATCAGTTAGATAGAAATAACACACTGTTACAATCAGAAAGATAGAAATAACACACTGTTACAATCAGA